GGGATCACAGGCATGCACCACTATGTCCATCTTGATTTTTGATGAAGACTCTAAGACCATTTAGTGTAGAAAGAAAGAGGAGTCTTCTCAACAAATAGTACCAGGACAGGCAGACTGCCACAAGCAAAAGAATGAGCTGGACTCTCTATGTTACATCCTAAACATGATGAATCAGAGATCAAATGTAAGAGTTAATACTCCAGGACTCTTAGAAGGGAAGACAGATATTACGGCTTGTGTCTAAAAATCCCTTCAAAGCCTCATATGGTCATAGGTGAGGCTTTTCCAAGGTGGCTGGATCCAGAGTGTGTGCTGCTGGGATTAAGTATGTGACGCGGGTTCAAGGGTGAGGGTGTAGGATGACTAAATTAGCCTACTGATTGGCTTGGCATATTTTTTTTGGTACTAGGAATGGAACTCAGGACCTTGTGCTTGCCAGGCAGGCACTGTGGGCTGAGCTATATCTCCAAGCTTGTTTGGCATAGTTCTGGGTGTGGATAAAGGATGGTCCTCCCTGGTGTGGGTGCTACCCATCCTAAGCGTGTAGCCTGGGCAGAACCCACGGGATACACAGGACTATTTTGTCCCTTGCTGCTTTTTTTTAAAACTACTTTGCTGCCTTCTTCCAACCACAGACTCTTTCTCTGTTACGCCGCCCTGCCTGGGAGCCAGCCGACTGTGAACGAAAACCTCTCCAAACTGGGAGCTAAATAAACCTTTCCGCCTCTAACTTTGGTGTTGGGTTCTTTGTCTCAGCAACAAGAAAAGTAACTAAGAAAATAGGTACACATTTTCATGACCACGATCAAGTAATTATTTCCTAAATATGACACAAAAGGGACAAATAACAAAAGAGAAAAAGGATGAATTAGATCTTATCAAAACTCAAACTTTTATGCATCGAGGACACCATCAAGACAACACAGAGACAACACTGAGAAAAGCAGAAATATTTATAATCATTGGCGTGCCAGTGGTGTGATCAGTTAGCACTTGGTACTTACGGGACATCATGTACCCAATATGGATTTAGGATCTGGCATAAAGAATCCTCAACTATAAAACTATACTCAGCTATAAAAAAGACAAACAGCCTAATTAAAAACAGACAAGGAATCTGGATAGACATGTCTCCAAAGAAAAGGAATGAGCAATCAAACCTGAAAATATTAGCCAGTAGGGAGGTGCACATCAAAACCACAACGACACATACCTTCACGGCTACTGGATGGCTGCAATAAAGACAGGAAAATAAATGTGGGTGCAGGGTAGAGAAGTTAGAACCCATTGTTTGCTTTTTATTTTTTGAGGCAGGGCCTTGCTGTGTAGTTCACGCTGGACTTGAACTCACTATGTAAGCCAGGCTGACCTCAAACTGCGTCAGTCCTCCTGCCTCAGCCTCCCAGATGCTGGCATTACAAGTATGGCCACCATGGCCATTTAGAGAGACCAACATTGTACGCAGTGGGTAGGAATATTAAGGGATGCAGCCATTGTGGAGCTCATTCTGGCGTGGCTACATGGCTCAACAATTCCTCTTCTAGGTACTCAAAAGAATTATGAAAGCGTGTTCACAAAAATCCCGTGTATAAGTGTTTAGAGTAGCAGTATTCTTAACAGCCAGAGCCCATCAGTAGATGAAATGGATAGATAAATGTGGCCTCGTCACACAATGGAATATTATTTGGCCATAAAAACCAATGACTCAGTGATGAATTTACCTTGGAAAATGCTACTATGTGACAGAAGGCAGTCACGAAAGACCACATCACTCGTTAACTTTCTAGAACAGGCAAATCTGCAGACAGGAAATAGATTAGGGGCTGGAAAGAGGGGCTGTGACTGCTGATAGACGGGATTTGCGGTTGGGGTCATTAAGGTATTCGGGAATTGGGGAGTGGTGTGATTGTAGGTCATTGCCACGACCCTAAAATCCACTGAATTGAAAACTTTAAAATGATGAATTTTATGTTACATTAGTTTTCTCTTTAAAAAGATGACCTCGGAGGTTGATAGCGTGTCTCCAGTGCGATGCCAAAGACTGAGGAAAGAGAATCTGATTAGTCCAGCTCGGATCAGGTGCCCAGGGACATGGGTCACACAGAGCCACGCCATTGGGATTGCCGCAGAGCCCCCTTTTGGTGGGGACCCAGGATTCAAGCAAGAGGGGCTGGGCAAAGCGCCAGAAGATGTCGAAGTACCAAAAAATAGCATTAAAGAAAAACGAAGAAAAGAAAAAAATAATCACCCATGGTTTTAGAATTTTAATCCCCACAGCATTTATTTCTGTAAATCCCCCAGTGTTTGCCCCCAGGCCAACACATTTCTGGGAGCTGTAATCAGTGTTTACGCTGTTTACTTCCTGGGCCTTTCACTTGCTGTCAAACCAGATTTCCGTGTTTCCAGGTCACCCTGCTAATTACCCTCTCTGGTAGCTGTGTAACATTCAACAGAGTTGATGCCCCGTAATTTCTTAATCACTTGGCCTTGCTGGAGTATTTACAGTTTCTAATTTTTTCTCACTTTTCTTTACACTGTAGGAAATACTTCCTGCGAGCCAGTTTTTTTTTTTTTTTGTTTTTTTCTCTTTGCGTGAATTGCCTAAATTACTTAAAAACACCAGAAAGGATAAACTTTCCCCCCAAACTGGAGCTGTTGTCCTGGGGCTGTGGTCTTGGTGCTCTGTCCTTCTCCCCGTCCCCAGCAGGGGTCCCCCACCCTCTCGGTGCACTGATTCCTGTTGCTCTGGGAGCCAGGTGCTGACGGGAGGGAAGTGGGGTGCAGATGGGGGTGAAGGGGTTCCCAGGCACCCTTCATGGTCAGCAGAGCCATGGCCCTTGGGTGTCCACGCCTGAGTCCCTGGAACCCAAGAATATGCCAGGCGAGAATGTGGCAAGGGCAGCTGATGAAGGCTGGGCCTGGGGGCATCTTAGATGACCCGGTGGGAGAAGGAAACAAAACCGAGAGAGGACTGAAGAGGCTCTGCAGAGAACCGACCTCCGACCAGCCCGCGGGCGGCCTCTAGAGGCCGGGACAGGCCTGGACACACATTCGCCTGGAGCGCCCAGGAGCTTTCTGTGTGCACTGTTCTCACCTGCCGTCTTAACCTGCCAGCAGCTGAGGTACGGAGAGACCGGGCACCTCGTCCAGGGTTGCAGAGTGAGTGCCTGTGTGGCCTCTGGCAAGACCTGCAGCCCTTCCAGCCGCAAAGTTGGCCCCACAGTATGGGCAAGCTGGCATGACACCCAGCACCTCAGCTTCTTCCCCGGGCAGAGAGGGCCCAAAGGCTGGCACAGTGGCTCTTCAGCTGTGTGTCTCCGGACAGATCTCCTAACTTCTCTGGGCTTTAGTGTCCTCATCAGAAAGCAAAAACTCCTCCAGGTAAGGTTGGCATTTTAGAGACACGGGAGAAGCGTGGGAAGGCCTTGACGGCTCGGACTTGCATCTGGTCCTGTCCTATGGGGCAGGGTTCAGTGGTCAAGCCAGAGACACGAAGTCTCCCTCCCGCCCTGGGTTCAGTCCTGGACACACTCCTGTAACCGCAGACAAGCCAGGTGCCCTCTCCAGCCTCAATGTCCTCATCTGTAAGTGGGCATCCTGGTGACAGTGGCCCCTCAGAGAGCAGCCGTTGGAGCCAGCTGGGACTCTCCTGCTCCATCTTGGATTTGGGCCGCTCTTGAAAGGCCCATGAGTGGGAGGCCTGGTCCCAGCCTACAGCACTGGGGGGAGGCAACAGTGCCATTAGGAGGCTGTGCCTAGGAGCAGGAAACTAGGTCACTGGGAGTGCGCTTTTGTTTGTATTTTTGTCTGCTTTAAGACAGGGCCTCGCTATGCAGTTCAGGCTGGCCTTGGGCTCACTTTGTAGCCCAGGCTGATCTTGAGCTCTCAATGATCCTCGTGCCTCAGCCTCCCGAGTGCTGGGATTACAGGCGTGTGCCATCAGGCCCAGTTTGGGAGTGTGCTCTTCACAAGGATGCTGGGACACTGATCTCCTCTCCTCCCTCTTTTTGTTTCCTTGTTGCCAGGAAGTGAACGGTTTTCTCCACCAGGCACTTCTGCCTCACCGCAGGCCAAAGTCACAAGGTTAAGTGACCATGCACTGAGCCCTCTGAAGCCATGAGCCGACACAAGCGTGTTCTTGTAAGTTGATTTTCTCAGTCATTGTCGCAGTGGTGAAAAGTGGACACAATGTAGAGAGTGCTGAGTGCTGAGGGCTCTGCATGTGAATCTGTCTCATGGGGAGGCGGCGGGGCTGCAGCACCCATCAGCTGAGGAGGAGGAGGAGGAGGAGGAGGAGGAGGAGGAAGAAGAGGAGGAAGAGTAGGCAGAAGAGGGTTGTGAGGCAGGAGGGTGCAGAAGGCCAAGGAGAGACCCGAGAGAGTTCGTGTTGACTGAGCAGAGAGGGACAGGATGGCCAGAGTGGACCTGGAGGTCAGGGCCACAGACGCAGGAATTTCCAGGTATGTAGGGTGCTGCTGGGCTTTCAGGGCCTCCCAAGGAGAGCAGAGGCTCATTCACAGGGCAAGGAGGGCAGCAGCCAGTGTCCCTCGGATTCCAGGTCCCACATCAACACCCTCGATGCAGTGTCGGCCCACACACAGCTGGCAACCAGATGTTGCTGTGGGGAAAATCCCTGGTTTCCAAACACTTTCATATGATCCTACTTTTTACTCAAAGCATTCTTAAAAATTCCCCCAAAACATTAATAGCAGTCATTTTGGGGATGATGTCTTTAAAACAAAAAAAAAAATTGTCTCTTAAATATTCTTGAGTTGCTTGGACTGCTTTTAAATTACAAGTTAGAACTTTTAACAAGAACAAGCTGTATCCCCCATTTCTATTTTGGATGGATAAAAAGAGCCTAAATTTATCGAGTACCGTAAGAGGGTGTGAGTTTCTGCATCTTCCAGGAAGCTAAGTTCTGCCCTTTCTGGGATGTGGCCCAGGGCCAGGACTGACCGGAGCCGCGGAAGACAGGAGACCAAACTCGAGCAGGATCAGCTCTCAAACTTTATTACGTACAGCGAACCGGACCTGACAAGGTCCGCCACCCTCAGTTGGTTCCTCTTCCGCCCGTTGGGGGCAGGAACAACCTCTTATAAGGGGAAGCAGTATCCAATCACAGAGAAGCGCGCCTAACAAGCTGATAGGCTAGCGTCACGGGTAACTGGGCAGACCTGACAATTTGGCGGGCTTGTTCAGGCCAGGAAGAACCCGGAAGCAGGAAATGGGCGCCATCATAGGCGGCTTCCCACATCTCCCCCTTTTTTATTTATTAAAATAGGATGGTCTGTGGGTCCCTCCAAGGTGTCTATGACCTTGTTGCTGTTAGACACCTAGGAGTGGGCCTACCTTGTAGGCCGAGGCATGAGAGAATGTAGAGGTCTATACCCTGCTGTGCATCACCCTGTTTTGTGCATATCCTTGTGCCAGGACCATGCTCAAGGTGAGTGGTTCATTTTTTCGCAGGGCCAGGCTTTTGTGAACCGAACCTGGATGCATATAGACATTCATTCCTGCCTTCCCCCCAACCTTTGGGGCGGATGGCACTGCAGTACCCTTGGTCTCGCATCTCAATGCCAATAATTTGACTCCGGGAGGGACCCCTGGCCTTATAGGCCATGTATATCTGAGTGGAGCCTGTCTTAGGTTGACCGGGAGGGCTTTTCCCGTCTTACCCGTCATTGGCTTGCCCACTCAGCTCTTATAGCTGATGTTCCGCAATGTGAAGGAGATATGCGGCGGCCTGCTGGCCTGATGGGCCACCTGCTGCCATTTGCATGGCTGTCATAGCCGTGACCTTGACCTGTTGCTGGGTTTGCATAAGGCGGTCTAACAAGCATTTGAAAGGTGCCAATGTGGGCGGGTGGTGCCAAGGACCCCAAAGATATTGTGGTGGTTCTGTGGAATCTGAGCATATCACAGGGGTGATTAATAGGAACCCACAGAATAGAAAAAACTCCAAACCAGACATTTTAGTTTGTAGATGGTCTCGGGCGCTGAGCGTCGGTCCCAGAAGGGTCGAGTTGACTTGTGTCTGCGGGCTTATCCTCCTGTGCTTTATCAGGAACTGGTGGGGAGTTTACTGCTCGCGTCAATCTTTCCGGGACCCACAGCGGTTCGCAGCCTGGTTCCTGTGGGAAAACACAAACCGCACCTCGGGTCCAGCTAATCACTGGATCCGGGCCCATCCATTGTCCTGTAAGGACATCTTTCCATCTCACCAGCCCTTTGTCGGCCGGGGACGGGTTATTGTGCTCCATGGCAGGGGAATGATTATTATGATTAAGGTTTAAAAAATTTATGGTAAAGAGTGCCAATGATATTCTTCCTTTGGGCATTAGGCCGTGGCCACCCAATTCACGGCACAGGCGTGTCCACTCTTCTAAGGACCTATTTTTGTTAGTTCTTAGGACATCACGGCACTCCTTAGTGCACTGTTCAAAAATCAATTGTTTTATGAGAGGGTGAGCCGCCTCAGCATCTGGAAAAATCCTGTTAGCGGCCTCAAGCATGCGGGCCACAAAGTCTGAAAATGGCTCTCCCTGCCCTTGTATAATTTTTGTAAGGTGACCCGTATGTTCTCCCTTTCCAGCCAGCTGTCTCCAGGCCTGGAGGCCACAGCGGCTAATTTGTTCATAAACCTGGCGAGGGTATTGAGTTTGATCTTCCTCAAAGGCTCCTCGCCCTAATAGCATATCCCTGTTCCACTCTCTCTGGTTATTTTCCCTGTTGGCTGCCGCCTGCTCTACACAGAATTCCTCATTCCAGGACTTCCAATCTAAATATTGTCCGGGGGAGAGGCAGGCGCGTGCCAGCTGGGTCCAATCTCCAGGAGTTAAAAGCAGACCTGCCAATGCCTCTAAAAGCGCCATGGTAAATGGCGCATTGGGCCCATAAGCTGAAACTGCGTCCTTGATAGTTTTAAGTTGTTTAATTTCTAAGGGCTCATAATATCCTCCTCCTCCCCTGCCTCCTACTTGTACCTGGAATGCATGGAGACCGGAACACTCAAAGGGAAGCTGCGACCATACCCTCTGGTGGAAGGAACGTCCTCCTCCCTCCCCAGATGGGGGCGCAGAAGGCAACCCAGGAAGTAGCTCTCCCTCTAACCAGGGCGGTGCCATAGGTTGTGGTGGCAGCCCAGGGAGCAACTCCTCTTCCGGCCACGGCGGTGCAGTGGGGCCTGGCGCCCTGAAAGGGGCGATCATGGGTCGCGAACTTGCCAAAGGGCGGAAGGGCTTAAGCTCCTCCCGTAAGGCGGAGTAGCTCGGGCAGGGTGGTGTTTGGTTCCCCTTTTTATCTTCCCGAGCCCTAAGTTCCTTTTAACGGTGTAGGAGGGTCATGCTTAGCAAAGACGACCTCCTCTTCTGAGCCTTCCGAATCCGAATCAGAATTAGAGCCCTGAGGGTCCTCCGGAGACCCACAATCGGCAGTGGCTCCAGGCTCCTCTGAGCATTCCGATCGAGCTCTATCAAAAGCCTGTCGGGCTGTATTAGGGAAGCGAAAGCAAAACAGATGCAAAGGGAAAAGAAAAGAAAAAAAAAAAAACCGGCGTCCACTCGTGTGGCGCTCAAAATCTGTTAGGTGCGTCCACCCAACCCAGGTGACCCAGTACTCACCTGTCCCGGGAACCGCTGTATCTCACGTAGCTGATCAGGGTGAAGAGAAGAGGCGCTCGCGGCCTTCTGTTGTTATTGGGCCAGGTCCTCCATCGTACCGCAGGCGACAGCAATCGCACCTCCTGGCTGAAGAGGCACGTCGCTGAGTCTTTTACCTTTTTCCCCCGTACAGGCGGCCACCAGATGACCGGAGCCGCGGAAGACAGGAGACCAAACTCGAGCAGGATCAGCTCTCAAACTTTATTACGTACAGCGAACCGGACCTGACAAGGTCCGCCACCCTCAGTTGGTTCCTCTTCCGCCCGTTGGGGGCAGGAACAACCTCTTATAAGGGGAAGCAGTATCCAATCACAGAGAAGCGCGCCTAACAAGCTGATAGGCTAGCGTCACGGGTAACTGGGCAGACCTGACAATTTGGCGGGCTTGTTCAGGCCGGGAAGAACCCGGAAGCAGGAAATGGGCGCCATCATAGGCGGCTTCCCACACAGGACCTCTGGGGAGCTTCTGGAAGGAAGGAGCACAGCTCGATCCTGCTCTGGAGAGCCCAGAGCCCGGAACTTGGTCCTACAGCCAAGTTGTTGGGAACTTGCCTGCTGGGGCTCAGTCCTTATCCTAAGGGACCCGCTCTTGCAGGGTGGGGGCTCTCGTGCTGGTGCAGAGGGTCACCTGCTCCTCCTGCTGAGCAGCCTTGGGAGGGTCTGGTTTTTCTACGATCCAGTACCAACAGGGTGGTGTGCGAGTCCTCTGAGCACTCACTACCCACCAGGCAAGGTGCCAGGCTTTCGCCCTTATGATCTCATTTAGGGCTCAGGGTAACCCTATGAAGGGTGGGCTTTATTCTTTCCAATGTATCCATGAGAAAACAAGGTGCAGTGGGGTCATGGAACCTCCCAGAGCCACGCAGGGGTCACTGGAGGTGCCGGTTTTGAACCATTTCAGCCCGACTCCAAAGCCTGAGATACTCGTCTCTAAGTCCTGCCACCTCTTCACGCTCAGCCCCAATCTTAGAGTTGCTATCATAATTCAGATCCCTCCTTTCTTCCGAGGCTTTGCTAAGCCCCTGTTGCGGTGGAATCTCGTCCCCCTACCTCGGAACCCGAGTGGGTTGTGCTGTGGCCATCGCGTTTGCTGCCCAATGTCCCTCGAGAAAGTGCTGACGGTTTAGCTCACCACCAGGGATGCGTCGGTGACGGCTGGAGAACCCGAGGCTCTGCTCTTTCGGGGACCCTCTCCCCAGCTGATGCTCGAGCAGAGCAGGGCCCAGGGCCTGGACTTCTCTGTCCGGCATGGGGCACAGCAGAGGACGGTCTTTGTTCCCAAGTGTGCTGCAGGTTCAGGACTCGGTGGTTTGTCATTGCCCGAGGCTCTGGGCCCAGCCCACTTCCCTGCCTTTCCTCTGCAGGGGTCAGGTGCACCCTAGTGTGATGGATTGGGTCCCCCAGCCAGCTTCCTCCTGTCCTCTTTCCTATGCATGACCTCCAGTGACGCTCCTGTACCCTCAGTTCCACCCGTGTCTGCCCCTCAGGAGACTCTTGTGACCCAGTCACTTGTTCTCTTGGGACAACAGACACTGAGGAAGTGATGCATATGACCTTGAAGGCAAGGTCATAGAAGCCAGCGGTTCCCATAGTGTTGGCTGGAATACCAACCACCCTGGCAGCTCCAACACTCCGCTGGTCCCTGTCCAGCCATGCCTGGACCCAAACCAAAGGAGAGGCCTCAGCTGGGTCTGCCTGCTGAGTTCTTCCTGGTTCCTGATTCCCCAGAATTCCTGCAAGAGTTCTTTGAAGTCCTTGGGCTTTAACTGGCGTGGTACCCAGCAGTAGGTGAGGGACACAGGTGCCAGTGCGTGGGAGCCTGCTAGGGTTTCCTCGGTCACAAGGAAGGGCAGCTTGGCTGCTCTGTGAGTGCTGGGCACGCAGAAGGCGCTCAGGCCATGCTGTAACTGTTCTGGCGTCTACTGGGGTGTAGATTCCGGCCAGTGCTGAGCCACTTGGAAAGATGCATGTAGCGATCAAAATCTTTCCTAATTAAACTGTGATGAAAACCCATTCTAACACACGCTCCATATATTTGTGATCAGAGAAAATGAGGTGATTCTGAGGTCTGGATTTCAAACCATGAGCCTCGAAATTATTACTGGGCAAGGTGGCACACACTGACAATCCCCGCTGCTCAGTAGGCTGAGGCAGGAGGATCACAACTTCATGGACAACCCGGGCAACTTAGCAGACTCTCAAAATATAAAACCATGAAATGAGGGGGGCTGCGGGTGTAGCTCAGAGCACTCCTGGGTTCCATCCCAGTACGGAAGAAACCTTTCAGATGAAATAAAAAGACAGGACTGACACGAGGTACTGGCTCCTAGCGAGTCTACACAGTTCTTGGGATGTGCAAAATGATCCAAGGATGGAGAGGTCACCCTTTCTTCTCCTCGGCCCACCCGGCATCCTGACAGGGGCCACGATGTTGAATGGGAGCTGAGTGTGAGGCCCATATTTACTCTGTAGCTGTAACTCAGTTTGTAGCTGCAGAGCCCCCACAGCTGGACATAAGTGGCCCTTATGACTGAGCAGTTCCCCTAGGTGTGGACTGAACACAAGCGATATGCACAAGCATATTGTCCCCAGGTGACACTCACCCAGAACTCACCGTGGCCCAGGCTTTCCAGGGCCCGGAGCTGGCTACCAGCTTGGCCACAGAGCAGCAGCTGAGAACACACATTTCATCCTCTCTGTTTCTGCCTGTCTGGAGTCTGGACCTGGCCTTAGATTCAGAATCCCACCCAGAGGCCCTCTAAGGCTGCCTCTGAAGCCCTCTGCACTCATGATGAGGGAGGACAAAGGGCGGGTCCTCCCGGGCTCTTGGGGAACTTCTGGTACCCCAAGAGGAGGAGCTTGGGCCATAGACGTGGGCTGAGCCAGAGCTGGGGATGAAGATCCTAGGGCGGCTGCTGGCCTCTCCACCTTGGTATTGCGTCTGCACAAACTGATCGGGTACAGCACTCCCTCCCGGGGTGGGCGTGCGGCTCAGTGAGCAGACACCGGAGGCTGAGGCGCTGTGCACTGTGGAATTCCCATCAGTGCCTGTGCCTGGTACCTGGAGGGGACATCAGGAGAGACGCGGTCTATGCCCAGTCTGCTGTTACCATGCCAGACTGAGTAACGTGTTCCCCCAAACCCAGCTCCTAACTCTTGGAACCTTGGAAACATGGTCTTAACACGAAGAAAGGACTTTGCGGATGTGACCTGGTGGTGAGCAGATTATTCTGGGCTGTGTAGAGTGGGGAGGGGAGCAGCCCGATCACACAGGTCCTCGTGACGGCGAGGTGGAGGTCAGAGAGGCAGACGTGATAGAAACAGAGGTCAGTGTGAAGGCGGCCACAGGCCGGGAAGGTGGAGGAATCTGGAGAAGCTAAGGACGGGCTCTGAGGCCTCCGGGGGCTCCAGGCTTCTGGGCTTAAGAGAAATGCATTTCTATTGTTTTTATTTTATTATTAGTTTTGTGGTCCTAGGGGCTGAACCCAGGGCCTTTGCACGAAACTGCATTCACAGTCCTTTTAAATTCTGAGACAGGGTCTCACTAGGTTGTCCAGGCTGGCCTCTAACATGCAATCCTCTCGCCTCAGCCTCTCACGGAGCTGGGATTATGTTTGTGTCATGGTACCAGGGATTTCTGTGGTTTTGAACTGCTCCATCTGTGGTAATCGTTTTTATAGCAGTGATAGGAAACTAATATAACAATAATTATTATTTTGCCACTGTTTATATTGTCTCTTTCTTCTGCCTTCAAGAAGATATAGGTTTTTGTTTTTTAACTTAAAAACTGTCCCTTTTTCACTAAATTTCGGAGGGAGAGCTTGGGCGCATGAACCTCCTTTTTTGTACCTCTGTTCTTGGTCTCCACTTGGTCCCTGTCAATCAGAATTCAGCTAGGCTGTCTCAGGGTGTCGCCCTGTATATGACTCTAGGTCAGGCAGAGGTGGGGTGACGGGAGGAACTTTGAATATAGATCTGGGCTCCGCTCCGGACTCATATTAAACTTCAGGAAATGGCGCAGTTATGGATGTCTCCGCTGAAGAAAGGAACCCACATCCTCTTCTAAGATTCTTACACCCAGGGACGTGAAGAGCCACCAGTTCAGACGCCAAAGGTTTAATTTTCACTGGTTCTTTGCAAGACTTTGTAGCAAGATGCACAAGTTGCAGCAGAGGGCGATATTGCTTCATGGAAGAAAAAAATATAAAAAAAAAAAACCAAGACCCAAAATCTCCTTGGCAAAATACGTGGGCTTCAACGGTCATTTCCAGAGCAGGAAAACGAAAGCTGCCCTCTTCGAAGATTCCTTCCTGGGACAGGAGAGGGAGAGTCCTCTTCAGGAGCTCTCTGATGAGAATCGAGGTACTTGGCACACAAAATGCAGGCTGCTTTGGTGCACACGCGCGTGGTGCGGGAAACGGCACCCTCAGCAGTGTTCAATGACCAGGATCTTTGTTTTGCAAGGGTCCGGGGAGTTAACTTTGACACCTCATGCAGGCATGGAGCATGCTCGTCACTCTGCACCGGTTCGCTTCGCTCCTTTGAGGACACCTGGATGAAGCTGTATGTTTCTTAACCTCCAGGGAAAGTGAGAAGCAGCGCTCACTCAGTCCTTAGGGATGAGGCTCAGAGGATCCAGGAGATGGGCCTTAACAGGAAGAGGGATGGAACTGGCGCCCTCCAGCAGCCTCCTCGTAAATGATTTTTATGTTAGCACCTCAGATTCGCACCCTGCAAGTCTGGGCAGGTGTATCCATTTTGGAGAAGGGTTAACTCAGGATCAGAGGAGGTAGGGAGCTGAGTCAGGTCACACAGGGTTACGGTAAGTGCTAAGCAAGGTCAGGACATTGCTCCAGCTGGCCAGAAGAAAACAAAGGAAATAACCATCCGTTCTGTCACCTAACCAATAGGTTTTGCACCTTTTAGCCAAAAGCATGGAAACGTGACAGAGGAAATGCTACCTGCCTTAGCTAAAGTTGAGGTCCAACAGGGCTTCAAAGCCCAGGCCAGGACGGGAACTCTTGGGGATTTAGCGGGGTCCACACATCCACTCTGACCCTGGCCAACCCAGGGTGATTTTCTTCCTTGGGTCAGTTTTATGGTGTTTGCCCAAGAGCTTTGCGGCAGGGAGCGCCAGGGTCCCCTGAAGATGCCGATTCCCTAGGACCTGTGCATGTGCTGCCTTAGGTGGCAAAAGGGACTTGCAGAGGTGACTTTGCAAGGAGAGGTTATTCTGGTTGTAACCACAAGGGGCCTCGGTGGGGAGCCAGGGGCCATGGGATGCAGACGAGGCAGGAGCAGATGTGGGATCTGTAGCCAGGAAATGTGAGTGGCCTCAAAGCCAAAAAGGCAAGAAAGGTTCTAGAAAAAGTACAGTCCTGCCCACCCCTGGATTTTAGCCCCGTGAAACTCTTTTGGATTCCTGAGCTCTTAAACTATAA